GAGCAGAGCTTCTCCTGGTTGGACTTACGATGTTTCTCTTCTTGATCCTGCCTGGACCCAGGAAACCCAGGGCAGCATGAGTAGGAATAAGAACTGAATTGATCAGTGAGATCTCAGGCAGGGTTTGGTTTGGGCACTGAGCAAGGCTCCAATTTTATCTAGCCCCTGTGCCCATCCATAGTCATAATAAGTAGTCTGGAAGGCAAGAGAGAAGTAAAAGTAGCATCCAAAGTCAAAGCTAGGAGCTAAGCGATTTAACAAATCAGTCAGTGGTGGAGAGGAGCATGGCAGCTCACACATCCCTCACCCATGCATCCTGTCCAGGCTGTGAACTTTACCAGGAAAGATCTTGGAGCACAAAAACACTTCCACAATGGAAGTGTGGCTGTTCTAATAAAAGTTCCCCAAGTCTTTCCCATCTTCTGCAGCTCAGAGATGGTTAGCTATCTTAGTCTGAAGTCAGGCAGAAGGTAGGACAGGGTGGCACCTGTGAGCTTAACTCACGGGTGTTCAAGCTTTTTTAAGGAGGTACCCCTTCTGGGTACACTTTTGGTGGAGCGGGGGGAGGGGGGTTGGCAGCAATTGGACTCAGAGCAGGGTTGGGGGTGTTGCACGCAGTGGTAGAGGATGGTGGATGGTGGCAACAGCTACCACATGTGAGCTGCCCCCGCCACATCTGTCCAGCTGGGCAGTGTTTGTGCAGCCTGTAGAGGGGAGCCGCTGCGCCTCCCGCCCTACTCCTGGGAGGCAGCAGCGTGGGGTGGTGGGTGGCAGTGCTCCATCCCTGCCTGCCCACATGTACCCCCAGGGGCACACATACCCCCAGTTGACAAACCCTGGCCTAACTGGTTCAGAGAGACATGAGCTCTTGTAGGAAACAGCCTACTTTGTCAAGTGCTATGAATGGACTTGTAAGAAGAAAATAATTTGTACAGAAGGGAAAAGGTCAGGGGAAGGGGACACTGCTAAGAGAGGTAATAAGTAGATTGATTAGATCAACCGAGATGGACAAAGCAGTTGACATCTGGAGGGACACCAGAGTAAACAGCTGATCCTTGTAGTACGATAAGACACTATATTTTCTGTTGAGACTGTGGTTAGCACAATGCAGTCTGTGGATGACTCTAGATCAGAGCTTTCCAAACTTTTCATGTTGGTGACACACTTTAGACATGCATCATTTCGCGACACAGTAATTCAGTTCCGGGGGAGGGGCCAAGGGAAGCAGACGCGAGTAAGGGAGCTCCGCGGTGCCCTTCCGCAAAATTTTCTGCATTTCGCGCGACACACCTACACACTGCCGCCGACACACTAATGTGTCGCGGCACGCAGTTTGGAAAGCTCTGCTCTAGATGGTCAAGTTGTTTTTTTAAATTATTTTCTTTAAAGGACAGCTGCTCTGAGGTCAGTGATGGAACATCCAGGGATGTTCACCCCCTGCTGGCCATGCATCCCCTGCCCTGCTCCAGCTCCTCGGGGTACACTGCCTTTTTACTTCACCTGGCACACCGTGATGTTTCTTATAGTATACAGGGAAGCTGCACCCAGGGTCCTAAACGTGCCTTAGTTCCTCAGCCAGTTGGTCTTCCCCACACCCAGCCAGCTGCAGATGTGCCCTTAAGTATAGGCGACTGGTGGGGGGGGGGGGCATGTGCCCCTCCCACCAAGATTGGCTGCCAACACTGGGTTCTGCGGTGGTCGCCACTCACCACCCTGCCAACACCAGTGCTGCCACCCACAAACTATGTCCCCCCAGTCTCAGGAGGCACCAGTCACCCATGCCCTTAGGGTGCTAAGCTGTGGCCATCTTTGCCATATCAATGCCTCGGGGCAGCAGCCGCCTTATGGGCTATAGTTGTGGCCTCTATCTGCTTTTGTAGCCATGCCCATGCCTCGTGGATATTACTCTTGATCCACACACCAGCTTGTACAGGCTTCAGCCTTCTTGGCTTTGGCCAGTTGGTTGCTCTAGCTGTGATCTCCTAAGCCTAGGCCCACTTGCACTGACTGGCTTGGCTCCTCGGTCCCAGCCTCCCTGTCTCCCGGGCCACAAGCTTCGGCTTTCTCTCACACCTGGAGCACAGGCCCTTGTCCTCTTGGCCCTAGTCACTCACCCATCTGTGTGCCCCAGGCCTCCTGGTATGTGGCCTCCAATCCTCCCATACCGCTACAACCCAGTCCTCCAGTGTTAAACTTAACCACAGTGCAAATATAAGCAACCACTTCCAAACAAAAAGTCTCCCGCACTCTGTGTCAGTGGCATCTGGCAAGCGCACCTCCCATCTCTCGTGGGGGGTTTGCCTGCTTCCTGGGCTGTCACCTGCAGCCCCTCTCCCAGGAGCTCTGCTCCCTGCAACACAGAAGGCCAGACTGCCCACCTTGCCTTAGGTGCTGGGTTTATATACCCTGAAGTCCTGCCCATTCCGGTCAAGTGACTCTTTAATCATACGCAGGGGGTTCCTCTTTTTCCTAATGGGCAGCCTGCCCCTCCCTGCTACAGCTTGTCAGCCGCTTGGAGCCTTTTCTCTCAGGCTCCCTGGAAATCTGCCCCCACAGCAAGCTTGTTGCAGTGCAGCTAGCTTCTGCTCAGCTGTCTGCCTGCACAGCAAGGTTAGCCTGCTGCACTTTCCCCATAAAAGTAACGGGAGCCTCTGACCCCATGTTACACGTGGGCTTTTGTGTATTTCTGGATTTGTGTTGAAATGGTGTCCACTCTTTTACGTGGGGATTGCCTTGTGTGGCCAATGTAGATAGCAAAGGGGCAGTATAAGCAGGTGCTGATGTATATGACTTTGGTGGAGGAACAGGTGAATAAACCCCCGGTGTTATAATTCGTGTTGTTTGGTCCAGTGATGATGTGGTCTGTGTTGATGAAGGGGTGCAGCTGGCAATGGAGTTTGCAGCAAAGTCTGGTGCCCTGGTAAGACTTGGAATTGGGTAGTCTGTTGCTGGAAAGGCATTATTTGAGATTGAGGGGCTGCCTCCAGGGATTATGGGGATCAGATGATGGATGCTGTAAGGCTGTGCTGGAGCAGAGTTGCTGAGGCAGGGGCCATTCTCAA